TCATTTAGACGAAGCTAATTCCTTCCCTGAAACAACGATTCGTTGCTGAGTTTAGGCTTCAATGATAGGTTTAGCACGTGAACACAGAAACCTGTCAATAGTTTGCAAATGTGCACCATTTCAGGTAACTTCAGCCTGAAAATTGGCTCAAAGCGAGAGATCTGAGTAGATAGAAAGGAGGCATTCGAGATGGGGGCAGCATCTACATCATTTACTTCAACAGCGGTCTTACACTACTGACACTCCCCATACGTTATATTATTCAAGAATAATCAAGGTGGATAACGAAGAAACCAAAATAAAAAAACAACGAATATAACAAGCAAAATTGTCTCGAGACTCCTTCCAGGCTTGAGCAGACCTTTGACCAAATTATTGCACAATTTTCAGTATGTTTCATGAAGAAGAAAAATGTATTGCCACCAAGTTCACACGTATTTCCAAAAGACGGCTCGCGAGAAGAAAATGAAACGATAAGACAGTACAACATCGATTCCTCATCAAAAGATCGCCCAATTGATGATGCAGAGCAAGATGACGTGAAAAAAGTAGTCAGCGTCATCCGAAGTGCACGATCTAATCGTCATGTTTAATACATATTCCTTTCTCCTATTAAATGATCCTTTAAAGCAACCTAACAAAATTCAAAGTGACTCAGAAGTTGCTCAAAATCCAGTATGTTTCATGAAGAAGAAGAAAAATGCATCGAATCACATCCTCAGTATGGAGAAGTATAGACCTGCCAGCTGCGTCCCTTGGTCAACTGTCTCAGTAAAAGTACTCAACAACTCTGCAAACAAACGCACGCGCGGTTTCCTCTTGTACGTCTTCATAACAGAAAGAGGGTCACTATGCTCTCTATTTTTTTCTCCTTGTAGAAGAGCCCTACAGGCTCTTTGTCAACCTCAATGGAAAAATAACCACCACAAATCAGATGATTTATTTTTTCCTGATGACACAAACACTTGCACCACAGACCCAACAAAAGCAAATATGTCTAAGATGAGGAACATCCTCCGCCCATTTTCATTCAAGCTTAGTCAAGCTATTTTCAATATGACTTGGTGCAGTCCACCGCTGTAAGGTGTTACACAACACTGCACGTATTGATAATGACACGTAGATAAGAGAATTGGGTACTTTGAAATAATGAGGGCATTGTAGGAAAAACCGATGTCGGATGCTCACCGGACATGGGGCATGAACTCAGAAGTGCTAAACGAACAAAGGAAGACAGGACGTCATGGTACTCTTTGGGAACATGGAAGGAGTTGTGAGCATGAGATGGCATAGGCTGCAGTAGCTGAGAAGAGAGAGGGTGCCCAGTGGTCAATGGGACGGGAGCAGCGTCTGCAATGGCATCGAGGAGGACCACGCATCCCGAGGGCATAGATGAGAGTTGAGCTCAAATAGATTGGCCAACGCGCCTGTCCACGTCTCCACGCTTCCACGCCCAACTTCTCCCGAAGGCGCCACTATTTGATGCTCTGATTCTAGAAGGACCCAACATAAGTACTACCCCATTAACAAACGGCGTCCGTACCAGCTGCATGGGATA